AGCAGACCACTGGGTCTTTGCTCCTGCTGAGCCACCGGTGGGTCTGAATTGCTGACTTTCCCCTTAGCAACCAAGAACTACACTAGGACTTCTAAACAAAGACGGGTACCTAGTGGAGGAGATAAAAAAATCACTCTCTGTCACACTAAGGGAAATGCAAATTAAACAGCCTTCCTTATCTGCACCTCGGACAGTTATCCAACAATTTTAAATGCACTTTGTTGGCAGGGGCAGAGGATCCACACCGGTCCTCTGTTGGTGAGACTAGCACATGGAGCCATCTCGTTCTGCTGGTGAGACTACAACATGGAAGGACCTCATTTCTATTTACCGTGACCCCTGCCTCCCTTTCATAAGCCACCGTCCTTTTGGAAGACACACAAAACGCCCAGGGTGCAAGATTCTCACCACAACATTATTTGTACCCACAAGAGGTCAGAGGCCACCCAGCTGCTTTTCAACAAGAGACTGTAAATAAATGACAGTCTTTGCACTCTGTAATCTATTTATTATGCAGGCGTGAAGAAGGAAGATGTTCCCTCTAGACTGAAACAAGCCGCCTTTGAAGGTCTGAAGTAGAAAAAGTACCGTATAAAACTGGATGCTATTTTGTGTGGGGAAGAAGGGAAGAGATAAGATGTTCATGTGTGCTTGCATATGTAATGCAAAATACTGAGAGGGTATGCAAGACAATAAAAAAAATACATGCAAGCAAAATACATTCACTTGTGGAGGGAGAATGGAATAGACAAAAATGGATGGAACTAAAGATACCTACCTCAGTGTTCACCATTCATATTGTCCTGATATTTAAATCCTAAACTGTATGACCTAGCCAAACATCTCAAATGAAGAAACAAAGCTCGTTCAGATTGAAAGATAAAATCACATACATACACACAACTACTATTGAGAAAAATAAACCACAAGCAAAGTTCACTGAAGGATAAACTACAAACTGAAAATTTTGAAATAAATATAATATAATATAATGTAATGTAATATAATATATATATATTCACCCTTTCTTTTCAACCAGAGAGGATCAACACTCCAAAAGAAAAATGAGGCAACACCGAAACCAAGCAATTTACAGAGAATAAAATGGAAACAACTAATAACCCAGCAGAAAATGTCAAAGGGAAGCTCAAGAAGACAGAGTAAAATATTATACTGAAATGTGCAAAGACCTAGAAGTAGAAAATCAGAAAGGAAGAACATACTCAGCATATCATAAACTAAAAGAACTCAAGAAAAAATTCAAGTCTTGAGTTGCAATATTGAAAGATTCTATGACTAAATATTGAATGATGCAGGAAGCATCAAAATATGATGGAAACAATGCAGAGTCACTGGACCAAGAACAACTAGTCAACATTCCACCATTTCAAGAAGTAGCACATGAACCAACGATACTGAGAGGAGTTCAAGAGAAACTGTAGGTGTGTTAAGAGAAACTGTAGGTGTGAGCCAAAAACAAGGCTCCAGGAATTGATGGGATCCCAACTGAAATGTTTCAAAGCAAGCTGATGAATCACTGGGAGTACTCACTGGCCAACTGACCGGAAGCTACCCATTCCAAAGAAACAGGACCCAAAGTATAGAATAGCATTAAATTATTGAACCATATCATTAAAATGACATGCAAGTAAAATTTTGCTGAAGACCATCTAACAACAATTGACAGGGAACTGCCAGAGATGCAGGCCTGATCAGAAGAGGATGTGAAACAAAGGCTATCATTGCAGGTGTCAGCTGGATCTTGGCTGAAGAATACCAGAAAGACGTCTGCGTGCATGTTATTGACTAGGCTGAGGCACTGGACTGTGTGGATCATGACGGACTACGGACAGCCTTGAGAAGAATGGGAATTCCAGAACACTACCCTGTGCTCATGCAGAACCTGTAATGGAGCAAGAGGCAGTTGTAGAAACAAAAAAGGCACACTGCACAGCTTAGAGTTAGGAGAGGTGTGCGGCAGGTCGTGTTCTCTTACCATTCTTATTCAATCTGTAGGCTGGCTTCTAGGAAGGCTGTGGCCTCAGCATTGGAGGAAGGCTTATGCAGATGACACATCTTGCCTGCCGAAAGCAAGGAGGATTTGAAGCACTGGCAGAAGAAGATCAAGGATTGCAGTCTTCGGTATGGATTGCAACTCAATGTAAAGAAACCCCAACTCCTCACAACTGGACGAGTAGGTAATATGACGACAAAGAAAAGACAAGTTGTCAAGGATTTCGTCTTGCTTGGATCCACAATCACTGCGCTATCGAAGCAGCGGTCAAGAAATCAAATGGTTCGTTGCATTGGGTAAATCTGCTGCACAAGACCTTTTGAAAGTGTTCAAGAGAGAGGATGTTTCCTAAAGGACTAAGTTATGCCTGACCCCATATTCCTTAGAGGCGAGGGAAGTGAGACTTTGCCTGCTGTACTTTGGGTCTGCTGACACGGAGAGACCAGTCCCTGGAGAAGCACTGCCTACTTGGTAAAGCAGCGGGGCAGTAAAAGAGAGGAAGGCCTTCTACAAAATGGACTGACATGCTGACCGCAGCACTGGGCACCGACACGAGAACAGTTGTGCGGGAGGAGCAGGCCCGGGAAGTGCTGTTCTCACTAGGAATCAGAACTGGCTCAAGGGCACCGAACAACAGCAATGACCAAACTCCAGGAAATGCCCAATGTTCGTGGAACTTCAGGTTAACCAGAGTGACACAAAAATGACATCAAAATGACATTCTTTCCTATCGGGAGAGTAAGAGGATACAGGCTCGCTCCTGCACTTTAGAAGACAGTACAAACTGGTGAAATCTTTTTGGAGGGCAAGTGGGCAACACTGGTCAGAACTTAAGGCATCTGTAATAGGCTTCTACCCAGTAAACGCTCATCATTTTCTCAAGGGAGATACTTGCACAAGTCCACAAGGATACTGCGACACTGTTTTTAATAATAAATAACCCAAACATTCATTAAGAAGAGCCTAATAAATTACAGTCTCACCGCGCAGTATGGTACAACACAGTCGTTAAAGACAGGAGGCTTACTTTTATGATTGCCACAATAGGGCACTAGGTTAAAAATAATAATAATTAAAAAAGCAAGGTACAGAGAGATATATAGAGTTGGCCCCCCAGTATACAATTTTAGAAGGTTCTGGAACAGGGAGGGATACTTCATAAATTTTTGCTATTTGAACTTTAACTATAATTTTTTTTCTAGTTAAATACAACCACTGTTCAAAAATATCACAGGTTCCAATGCAGACCACGTGGTAACGTCACTATGTGAAGTTTTTGGTTTCCCAGTGCATTTAAAGGTAGTGATGCCGACACTAGATTGTGGTCCGTTATGAGTGCAATCGCATTATGAAAGAGTTTGAAATATTGTTAAGAATGAGCAAAACGTGACACAGACACATGACGTGAACACACGAGGTTGTCACTGCACTGGCCCTGTGCAGGGTCACCCTAAAACTTCAATTTGTGAAAAATGCTTTATCTGCAGAATGCAAAAAAGCAAAGCTATGCCTGCATTTTACATGGGGGAGAGGAGAGGATTAATTGCCAAGGATTCAGCAGAGAACATAGATTCCCAGTTTGGGGCCCAATAGTAAGGTGAAGGGTGACAAGGACAATTCTAATCAGTCATATGATCCGCAAGATGTATTTCTGAGATAAGAGGGTACAAATCAGTCAGGCACCCATTTCTACACACGTCTCTGTGCAGAGTAGGGCATAAGCATACACCGCGGCCCTGGGGGCCACAATCACCACCACCTACTTGTGACGTGACTGCAAGCCAATCCTTTGGTCTCTCTGGACCTCCGCTTCCCATCTGTAGGGATGTGTATGGCAGAGGCAGCTCCTAGATGATTCTAAAACTGTAAGATTCTAACCTTAAAGGCGCTGCACTATTGGCTTATCCGTTTATAAAAAGGCAGAAACTCGGTAATTTGGAGGAGAGCAAATCTGCTCACGCTGTTCTCCTGTGGTCTTGCACAGGGTCTCAAGAAACACAAAACTCTCAGTAGTCAGCCTAGACTGAAAAGGAATTAATCCATCAGTAATGTCCACTATTACCAAACCAAAAGAATAGTGGTTGTGATGCAACAACATGGAAATAAGGAAGCTGCCAATCCCAATTTTTCATTTCAAATGGCATATGGATATAATAGCATCCCCCTACTAGCTGCTTTACTATCCAGTTGTGTCCCTTTGCACCCACCCACACTGCTGCGCTGCCTCCGAGGACTGCAAAAGTGCCACGGCAGCCATGCGCTCGTTCAGAAATGGTGTGTGGTCCGATTCTCAGGCCAGGTATGTAAGCAGAGCTCCTAGAGAGCCACGGGTGCATCGAGGTCAGGGGCGAGATAGCGAGAGGATAGGACATCAGGATGTCTAGTGGCCATACATTGTTGCCATCACGACTTTGGTTGTCTCAACGCACAAGCGCTCTCACTCAGAGCGAACTCTTCCAGTCTCCGAGAGAGCACATCACCGCACTGCCAGAAATGACCTCGTAGTGCATGCTGGTGCAAAGTTGGGGGGGGGGACCGGACACGCAGCTTTTTTCTATTTCCCTATTTGTCAAGAGACTATGTCTCCCCTTTTCACTTTGGACTCGGTAGGGGCTAATGGGAAAGTAGGCCAAGTATATTTAATATTTTACACCAAACAAGTTATTTACTTAAGATGGCTTGGCTAGGCTCGTGTCTGGGACTAACACCCAGCCCGACAGTTCCAGTCGGAATTAAACACCATTTTTAATGGGTGCTGTGTTCCAATGCCTACTAATGCACTCAGGGTTATTGGCCAACTTCTTCACATAAAGGCAGGAGTACGTGTGAGTGAGTGTGAGTGTGTGTGTGTGTGTGTGAGTGTGTGTGTGTCCCCGTGTATATATGGAAGGATTATTGGGGGATGGGGGTTAGAGTTAGCCACAGCTGCTTAATTTTTGTAATGCTTTTTTTTTTCTTAATCGGGAGGAGGGTTGTGGTTACTTACCATCCTCATAGGCCGCTACCGCCAGCGCGCAGTTTATCTTCACAAAGGAGACATATGGCTGCATTCCAGGCTCGTCCTCCTCGTACTCCGATTCCAGGAAGGGGGCGGTGTAGTCCCAGGTGCGGGTGTCCCACACCCGCACGTCTCCTGATGTGTATCTGGAAAAGAAGGGCACACTTGGTTCCAAAAGGGGCTTGCAGAGCAGGGCTGTGCGGGAACGAGCGGTGTGCCGCAACGACAGAGATGCGAGATGTGGGCACGGTGGCGTCCACGAGGACTCCACCAGGGCAGCAAGCCGGCCGGGGGCAGAAGGCCACGAGCGGGCTTCTGTTCTCACGGCACGCTGGTGGCAACAGCAAATGAGAACGTTGTCATAAGGCACTGCGACCGGCTTGTTTTCCCTCCTTTTGCACTTTTACAACCTTATGCGCTGCTACTGAAAGAACCACTGACAAAAATGTACATAAGCAGCTGGATTTGCACAGGCACCACAGACAAGAGGGAGAAAAAGCAACACTCGTACCCACACCCACAGAGACAGACACTGCACATACTAAGAACTAATGGTCTAACAGGCACAAGCTTTCTAATACCTCATCCATGCATCAGATTTGACTGATTAAAGTCCCTAAAGACTAATTGATTTGCTGAAACAATTAAATCTTGCCTCTAGCAGCCAGACAATGCTGCCTTCTCATGGAAAGCTCTTGCCGAAATGCATGACGCTCCCCGGTTTTGCCCACTTAGAAAATAGGAGCACTCACTCTCCCCTATTATCACTGCCACTCCAACAAATGACTCTCTCCATCAAAGCCAAGGCAGGGCCAGCCCGGGCTCAGACTCAGGGCCCCCAGGATAATGGAAGGGGCAGATGATGAGGCGGTGCAGTGCCTGCCACTGCAGTCTTTTAAGCGAAGGTCCTTGATTGCTACAGAGACTTCTAGTCAATGCTGAAACTACTCAGGGAGGAGTGTGAGCGATGCCTGGAAGAGCTCACGGCATGCCACACAGACAGGCTGGCAATTCCACGTGGGTCCCTGGGCCTCTTGAGGTCCTAGCCACGCAGGCCTCAGCGTCCTACTGCGACCTCAAGCAAGGCCAAACAAGATGCCCTCCAAGGTTTATCTCATCGCTGAAATCCAGGACATGAAGCATTTATGAAGTGACTCTACAAGGCCAATTTCTCATGCAAGCTGTTTTAATCAACTACGAAATAACCAATTCGTGGAGGCGACATTTACATAATATAGTTCTTTCTAGTTATTCGTCTCCAGTAAAGACATGCGCTGCTTCATTTGAAGGTTACTGTCACACAACGTCTCTGGTTGGAGAATTCAGAGCACTACCTGCAGGATGGTGCCAGTGAGGGTGTGAGAAGCCAAACACTTTCTAAAACCCGGGAGACAGAGCTCTGGCCACTCATCCTGCAGCACATAAAACCGCTCACGACACGAGTGTCACAGAGACTGGCGGAGGATGCCCAAGCAAGGGCCGAGATTGACAGCACCAGAGCCAAGGCACGAGCTGGCTCCGGGCGCTCCGGGCAGCGGTCCAGAACCCCCTTCTTCCCTGGGACACAGCCCACAACCACCAGAGTCAACCTGGATCGTCCAGGCCGCGGCAAGGACGGCGGCCCAGAGACTGGAAGAAAATCACACGCTTCAATTTCTCAATGGTATGTGGTCAAATATTTGGGGGGAAATTTGGTGCAAAAGGAACTAGCTACTTCAGAAAGCAAAGATGAGGGTGGGAGGCAATGTCTTTCCGAAATACAGAGATGGTAACAAAAAGAATGGAGGAGGAAGGCACTTAGGAGATCTGAGAACCAAGACATCCTGAGAGTAAGATGCGCACAAACCGGGGAGGTGGATTTTACATCCTGTTGGTCTTGCTCAGTTTTAGACTACCAGGAGCCCTGGTGGCGCAGTGGTTAAGCACTTGGTGGCTCAAACCCACGGGCTGCAGGATGCCACAGTTGGCTTCCGAAAAGCTTACAGCCTAGGAAACCCTGTTCAATAGGGTGACTACGAGTTGGAATCCACGAGTCCCTTGGGCCACCCCTCAGCAGTATTCCCACTATTCCCTTTGGCACTTCCTTAGGGAGTAGAAGCTTATGGAAAAGAGACCCTCAGTCGGTGATGCTCTGGTCCCCCAGCTCCCTTACCAGCATCCTGACGCAAAGCAACAATAATGAAACTTGGGAAAAGTGCTGTCACTGCCAAACCACACAAAATTCCACTGTAAGAAACAAATGTTGATCTCTTTTCTTCTTAAGCGTGCACTCTGTCAAATGTCAGGGGGTCCCAATGAGAAGACTTGCTCTCACTCACATTGCAACTCCACACACTAAGATTAAACGTACGCTCCCTTCAAACGCAGGGCTGAAAACATTTCTGAATCCCTTATTTTTGTTCCTAGCAGTATCAGTCCTAGGGCACTGGTGTAGAAACGGGGGTAGGGCTCAACACCCCACTTGCCCACCACCCACACTGTTCTCCTTCCAGAGAATGCCACCAGTCTGAAGCTGCTAGTCCCTCACATGTATGTCCCTGCTTCCGAGTCTCGCCACCTTCAATGGGCCGAGCTCTGATACGCCTGGTCACATGAGTCGTTCTTCTGGATTCGTTGTCCAAATGGGACCAGGCCCTCCGTGATGCACCTAGCTGGCAGTCTGCACTTTTCCCTGCTTACAGTTACAGGAGAGTGACTCGCTGCCGGTCTCCCCTAGAGTCCAGACGCTCCTGAGATCAGGCGCTAGGTCTTGCTTGACGCGGTACACTCAATGACTTATTTTGAGAGCATTGCCTAGCACCTAGAAAGAGGGCTGTAAATTTTGCCCATTAACACTTGACTGAGGAAGTTTTCATACCAGGGTCGAGCCCCAGAAACCCTCCTCCACAGCTAGCTTCCAGCCCTCCACCCCCTGCCCCCTCATGGCCCACTCTTCCTTAGCACTCTAAGGGGGAGACTCCTGGCAAGCCTGCATTCCCCAGCTGCAAACATTCTTGCTCACATTGGCCACCTTCCTGGGGGACCACTTTGCCTCTTCACAACCCAGCCCAGCAGGGCACAGTGCTGGATGATTAGAATTGGGCGAGGAAGCTGTTAAAACGGTTGATGCCCTAGCACCCCCAGACCAATGCAACCCGACTCTCAGAGAGTAGGGCCGAGCAGCAGGGCTTTCAATGTGCTGGCAAGCTTGAGGCAAGGCAGCCCAATCCTGCCCACCCCACAAGGTCTAGAACAGGCCCTGCCTCTTGCACACAGGCTTCTCTGACTCACCAGTGCCCTTTACCTGAACAAAGGAAGCAATCCCATTTACCGCTATTTGATTGCCACACTTCACAGGTCTTTTTCTTCTCAGCAGGGCTGTAAAGTCCTGGAGAAGAGCCCTATCTCAGCACCGAACTCTGCCCCTGCCTCCCCTGCCCCCTGAGTGCCAAGCACAGCTGATTCTCAGCAAATAACCGGTGCCTGGAGGAGGTGTCCACAGTACCCACTTCACTGGTTGGAGAGGCACCTCCTTTAGGCCCACTGCCTGTCCTCTCCTGCCGAAGATCAAAATGACTGGCTAAACACCACAGACAGCACGCAATAGACTTCTTGTGTTTGTTTATATAAACTGCTTAAATTATGAAGGAGCCAAAAAAAAACCCCCAAAAATATATGAAGGAGCCCTGGTGGCATAGTGGTGATGTACTGGGCTGCAAACTGTTCGGTCAGCAGTTAAAAACCACCGTACCGCTCCAAGGCGTTGTAGTCTCGAACTCACAGGGACAGTGCACCCCCCGCCCCATCCTATAACAGGGTCGCTATGAGTCAGCATTGACTCGATGGCAGTTTCAAACACAAGGAGGCTTCCCAAAGGTTCATGGAAAGATTCCATACCTTTCTATTCCATTTTTCATGGACTTGGAAGCCCCCTCGTATATTTCTTCAAAACAGGGGGTAAGCAATTTCAGCAAGCCTTGAGTTTTCCCATAAATGCCCACTTAAGTGACTCCATTCTTCCCAGCCAAAGAGGGGGACCATCGCACAGATGTCTGACTGCACAGCGACTCCACGGCTCCTGTGGGGATCACGGGATGACTCAGCAGCAGGCTCGCAAGTCTCACCCGAGTGTAAGCCCCACGGCAGTGGGCGTCAGGCGGCGCACTAATGAACCTGTGCTAATGAAACAGACATTCGCACGAGGCTGAAACACTGGTTGGGGCAGAGGGACCTGGACCAAACGCTAAATGTGATCTAAAAATGCTTAACAACCTTGGCCAGAAGAAGCCGGGGCAAATAACGAAGGGAGGTGGGGGAAAAGGGCTGATTTTTCTCCAAAGCTCCAGATGTCTTTATCGCTGCCTAATGACAATTACACTCCACCAATTAAGACACCACTAGGACAGTTGCATTGTCAGTAAGCCTTTGGACCCCAATGTTGATGGCTCTCTAATTGGTGTGTGTGCAAAGTACAACTGCAACTAACATATTAGCTCCGGTAAAGACAGTAAAGCGAAACGGAAGGAGAAAGACGCCTGAAACAAGTGAGGAGAGAGAGAGACGTGCCCCAGTGACACCCTACTCTTCCTCCATCTTTTCTGACGCCTGGCAAGGTGGCGTTTACCTTTAACTAAATATGCCAGAGACCACAGCTGATCTTCTGTTGAAAGGATGGGAGCAGAGCCTCTCTGAAGCCGGCCGGCAGCCCAGAGCAATCGTCCATTTAAAATGATTCGCCACCGGAGAGCTTTTGTTAACTACTCAGTTTCTAATAAGCAGAGTACTTACTTACACTGAGAGACTAGACCCTCCACCTGGGGGTGGCAACCCTTTTGGGGGTTGAATGACCCTTTCACAGGAGTCGCCCGATTCATAACAGTAGCAAAATGACAGTGATGTAGCAACCAAAATAATGTTATGGTTGGGGGGGGTCAGCACAACATGAGGAAAGAGTCACGGCATTAGGAAGGTTGAGAATCACTGGCTTAGAAGAAAAAAGAGGAAGAAATGTTGAGCAGCTTAAGACAATCTTTAACCTTCTTTCTTAAGTGACTATCTAGGAGGGCTGCCCTTCTGTTTCCAGGTGCCAGAACTTAAATGGCTCAAAATATTTTTTTTCAAGGCCATTCATATCAAGGGCAGGGCTAGTGTTGTTTTCAGGATGCCA